ACCAATAGGCTAGGGGAGTCCGCTCGCCCCGCAAGGCAACCGCACCTGACGTTTGTCCTCTTCTATTCTACACATTAGTCCGTCTCGCAGACTGTCCCCGCGACCCGCGGCCACCGGCGTTGGTGGCCGCGGGCCCCGCCCCCGCCCTCCTCTCCTCCATGCTACGCCGCTACGCCCCCCTAAAGGCCCCCCGGTGCCTCTTGCTCGGTGCCCACACAGCCGCAGCGGATGTGCCACTCCCACTCCTTACAGGCAATCATCAAAGGCGAATGGAGTATCGCACGGTATTGCAGGCAGGATCCGATAAACCAGGTGCTTGCAGCCAACTTTGAATTTAAAATCACTCTATGACCGATGGTAGAGCTCGAGAGTCTGCGCTGCGGACTGCTGGCTCCTGGAGCTATGCTATGCAGTCACTTTCTCCGCGGGCCAGCCAGCCCTGCTCCACCTGGAGGCTCCAGGCCCCGTTCCAGGCGCGCTGGATGCGAGCGCTCGCCAGTGTTCCTTTCACAGCGTTCGAACAGAACGCCGTATGCTTTCTCCAGCAGACCGCTTACTTCGACCAACTTTATTAACACCTCGAGTCCCCCTGGGCACGCGGTGTACCGGGTGATTCAGAGAAGACGCAGTCGCGGACGGGTTTGCCTGCCAAAGGGGCCATGGCGCCTTACGGGCAGAGTAGGCAAACCCGGGCGCACCTGCGTCTCTGAATCACCCGGTACTGCGGACGCCACTCTGGTCGAGCTCTATTTGGGTACTCCTACTGTAAACGGGAGAAAGAGTGTAAATTTTGAAGAGAGAATCAATTAATTTTTTAAAGAAATGGGTTGTGGTACAATCGATTAACGACATAGTGGCCTCCTTGGGGTCATGCTTCGCTGAAAAACGCCATCCCGCGTAAAGTGCCTCGTCGAAGAACGGGTTAGAACGGTTAAACGATATGGGAGCCCCACCAGGTGCAACCGCTCTTGTGCTCTTGTGGCGAGAACGTCACCCTCGAAACACGCGGACTACTGCTGCAGCGACGGCTTTGCACGGCGTGCTGCATCGGCAAAACCTCTTTCAGATCGTTTGACTAACATTGAGAAAAGCTGCTCGCCGGAAAGACGGCAGACTGTCTGGCGAAGCCTCCCAACCAGCGGCCTGCTGGCCTGCAACGTGGGCGACGCGTCGGCAGGGCGCGGCTCGCCTTCAGGCCCGCCTGGCGTCGTGGCGCTGCCCACTCGCGTCGCGCCCATCGGGGGCCCACACCGGGCCCACACGCCACTCCGGGGCCGCGGCCGGGCCGGGCCGGGCCCACGGGCCTCAGGACGATAGCCTTCACAGGGGCGAGGGCGTAGCCTGGGCGTAGCCTGGGCGTACCTCGCACCAGCGCAGACCGCGGTAGTATACATATGCCGGGTGTATAAGAGATCATAGCCGGAGTTGTGGGATTGCACCCCCCCCCCCCCCTTCTGGTCCGCAGGGGCCGTGGCGCCTCGCGGGCAGTAGGGGGAAGGCAAACCCGCAACACCGCGGCGCCCACTCCGTCCACTCTGATACACCAGGTAGAGCACGAACATCGGGTATGTACCAGGAGGTAGCTGACTCACGCCACGCACTGTCGCAGTTGTGTACCCTACCGGGTGTTGCATAAAAAAGGCACAGCTTCGGGCGGGTTTGCCTACCCAAGGGGCTATGGCGCCTTACGGGCAGAGCGGATAGGCAAACCCGCTCGCACCTGTGTCTTTCTTGCAACACCCGGTACTGTGCCGCATGCACGTTTGCGGGCAGGTTGTCTACTCGCACGGGGCCATAAGGCCATATCAGTGGGCATACCCGCCCGCACCCGGGCGGCGCGAGTCAGCCACCTGGGTAGTGTACTAAGGTTCATCGGACCTGGCTCGAGAGGAAGGAACCCCCAACTTTTACGAAGCGGAACCAAACTCCCAGCTCCAGTCCACCTCGGTGCTAATCGCATTAAAGTACCGGGGAACTGGGGTGGCCCACCCAAGGCCCCGCAGCTGTTTGGCTCAGGGGCCTGGACCAGGAGTGCGCACAGCACACGTGAATTCTGCCTGCCACAATTTTCTTCTATCCCAGGTGAACGCGACTTCTATCCGGCAACGCCGCTCCCGACTCGAGCCTCCCCCCC